ATTTTAATAAATATTAATTTAAAAACGATTAATTAAAACATGTTTTATGTATTTTTAAAGTTGATTCTGTATTTTTGAAAATGGTAACTTAAAAACCTTTGTGGATGTAATTTCCTCATAATTATTTTAGAGGGAAAATAATCTCCAATAGAATACTCTGATGAGGATTGGGGGCCCATAATGGTTGAAAATAATAATGTCTCGACTTTAGCGGGAATTTATGTCTTCCCTTCTCGTCACTTTGTCTCGAACCCACACTTTTCACTCCAGGCACATAAATGTGTAATGTAGTATCATAATCAAAGTTCGAATCTTGTCATCACCCAGTTTTTGAAAACTTTGCACATGTCAGATCATAAAATGAATACGTTTAATCTTGAAAAAAACAAAATTTAAGTGAACATTGCACCTCTCCGATGTGAAAATGCTTTGCAGCCTCGTAATTCCATCTATCTACTTGTACCACAACATTTTGTTTCTCACTAAGAATCAATGTTAAGGCAGATGTCAAGGTATTGGTCTCCTTAAGGTATAAAAAATAACATGAAACTAGGTTTAGATAAGAACAAGTTATATGTATACATAAACGTCTCGTTTTAACGGCATATAACTCAACTCGTCTCGTAGATATTGATACTTAAGCCCTTGTCAACTAAATGTTTTAAAAAGAACGAGAACAATGTACCCAATCCACCACAAGAAATATAAAGATAACGATCAACTCTCCATCGTAGAAGATTGAAACATATTAAAGAAAATAAATAATATATGAAACTCGTTTATAAGTACATGTCACTACGCACCCATAACAACCTGCTCGGCAATCATATTCTAATTAATTGCTTCAAGAAATGGGACTTTGAGAACCCTCAAGTCAAAAGGAAAATCTTAAAATTTTCCAATGTTTTCAAAAAACTTTAGCTCTACTTAAACAACGTACGGGTTCTACTCATTTTAATTGGGTAGAATTAAGGTAAACTCAGACGTTCAATACGGTATTCGAACTCAACGAGTTCAATCGAGCAATTCAATCCGTCTAAAATTCAAACGAGCAATTGAATTTTAAGATTTGTATTTTCAAGAGCTTGCATGCTTTGAAATGAGAGAAAAATTTTGTTGTATTTTTATATTTATTATTTTCAAAAACATGATGGGAATAATTTGTTTTACATCGTCCACCTGTCTTTTTGGACGAAACAATTATCAGGAACGAAATGTGCTAATCAATAGAAGATTGAAAAAAATACGACGGAAAAAAGTTGGCGGATATAAGCAAAATAATAAATAAAGATTGATGATTTTAAGTGCAACCAAAATGTGGCTCTATAAGTAAAAATTCACCTATTTCTTTTTGCCTTGTTGCTCAAAAGAGTTTAACCAAAATAAGTAGGGGAAAGTCACTGATTTTTATTTTGATTCTGATCTTTCCTCTTCTGCATGGAGTGAAGTTAACGAGCAGAGCAATTGAAGGAGAGTGAAGACAGTTGGATAACTGCCGCGCTCTCTCTGTATCCGGTATTTTCTCTTCTTCATTTCTCCTACTGACTCGGGCACACAAAATTTCATACATTTTTATTTTTACGGATCCAATTTTCATTTTGTATCAATTTTTCCTCATCAGTGCTAATTCCTTCTTCATGTTCTTCAAGAATTGAGGAACAGAAGTATTGATTCATGGCGTGCATGAAACTGGGCTCGAAATCTGAAGCATTTCATCGCGATGGCCAATCTTGGTAAGCCAAAAACCACTCTAATTTAGCCCCGTTTAAGTTCTTTGCTATTGTCAATTATGAATGGTTATGGCCCTTATGGAACGAGTGAAATTGTTTGGGTGGGGGGAGTCAGTGAGTTTGGTTCAGAATGTGTGGAATTACTGTATTGTTTAATCATTATATTTTAATCTTTTATTATAATGTTTACCCAAATGAAGTGAACTGAAGAGATATATCCTTCAAACATTACTTAAATGAGAGATTGCATCATTTCGTCAATTTGATTTTTTGATATTTTGTGTTCTTCATCAAGGTTGAAAGTTAGGGTTTTGTTTCATATTTGGGAGTCCGTATATGAACTTCTTAAAATTGTGCTTATTGCTATAAAATTCTATGACTCTTATAGAATGTGGGAATTTTGGCATCTCTTTTTGGATTGTGCTTTAAGATGTGTGGTTAGCAATTTTCTCGTTGGTTTTCTAATAGATAACCAATTTAGTTTTGTTCATCTTGGATTAAAAATTGTGTAGTATGTTTCTGCTACAACATTGTGATCTTTGCAGGCATTGCACATCCGGCCTCCAGAGTGACGTCACAATTGAAATCGGAGAAATGTCTTTTCATCTTCACAAGGTGTATACTTGAGCTTTTGAGGCCTAATTTGTGTTTTAGTTGCAGCATGAGTTAGTAATAGAAATGAGATAATTTTTATGTTAATTAGTCACCGATCATAGTTTCTATCATTTTTTCTGTTAATTAGACACTCATAATTTTGCACAATCGAAATTCCTGTTGAGTTTATTGCAAATTGCAGTTTCCTTTGCTGTCGAGAAGTGGGCTTCTTGAGAAACTTATTGGTGAATCTCAGAGTGTTGATGGATCTGTATGTGCTTTACAACTTGGTCAGTTACCGGGTGGAGCTAAAGCTTTTGAGTTACTAGCCAAATTCTGCTATGGCATTAAAATAGAACTCACTTCGATGAATGTTGTGAGTCTTAGATGTGCAGCTGACTACCTTCAAATGAATGAAGAGTATGGGGAGGGAAATCTCATTGTACAAACAGAAGCTTTTCTTAACGAGGTTTTTAGCAATTGGACGGACACAATAAAAGCTCTTGAAACGTGTGAAGAAGTTCTTCCACACGCTGAGGAGCTCCACATTGTCTCAAGATGTATTCACTCCTTGGCAATGAAAGCTTGTGCTGATCCGAAGTTATTCAATTGGCCTGTGTCCAGGTGCAATGAGGCAGGGCGGCCATCAGGTGCTTCCCTATGGAACGGTATATGTACTTCAATAAAACCACAGCCTCTAAGTGATGATTGGTGGTTTGAGGATGTTTCATTCCTGAGTTTACCTCTATATAAACGGTTGATTCAAGCTGTCGAAGTGGGAGGCATGACGCCCGAGAATATTGCTGGGGCTCTCGTGTTCTACGCTAAGAAATACATTCCCCAGATGAATAGGCAGTCGAGCTTCAAGAACTTAAATTCGGGTTCAACAATTTCTATCCCATCCGAGGCAGACCAGAGGGCACTTCTTGAAGAGATAGTTGAGATACTTCCAAACCAGAAAGGAGTAATACATACTCGGTTCCTACTTAGGTTGCTCCGGACTGCTATGGTTTTGCAGTCGAGTCCATCTTGCAGGGAAAACTTGGAGAGAAGGATTGGGCTGCAGTTAGACCTAGCAGCTTTGGAAGATCTACTAATACCGAACATGGGATATTCTGTGGAAACTTTATATGACATAGACTGTTTTCAGAGGATTCTAGACAATTTCATGTCAATAGACCAGCCTTCTGCTGCTGCTTCTCCATGTATAGTCGAAGAAAGTCAGCTAATGGAAGGGACCCATTCGTTGACTTCAATGACAATGGTGGCGAATCTGGTCGATGCGTATCTTTCTGATGTGTCAGCAGACGTTAATTTGAAGTTCCCTAAATTCCAGTCCCTAGCTGCTGCTGTTCCTGATTATGCAAGGCCAATATCTGACGGCATTTATCGTGCAATTGATATATATTTGAAGGTAAACTTTCAGTGTGGTAATAACGCATCTCCACTTTTTCTCTTTGATACAACTCTTCAGAATAAATTGCTAACATGTATCATAATGTCAGGCACATCCTTGGCTCACAGACTCTGAGCGAGAGCAAATATGTAGGCTCATGAACTGCCAAAAGCTCTCATTGGAGGCAAGTACTCATGCCGCCCAAAATGAGAGACTGCCCCTCAGAGTGATTGTGCAAGTCTTATTTTTCGAACAGCTGAGGCTACGGACATCCATTTCTGGTTGGTTCTTTGTTTCCGACAATCTTGAGAACTCTCAAAATCCCAATTTCTCGAAAAATGATGGCATAGAGGATATGAGGGAACGTGTGTCTGATCTTGAGAAGGAGTGTCAAAGCATGAGAAAGGACTTCCAGAAACTGGTTAAGACAAAGAGAAGTTGGAATATATTTTGGAGGAGAAAATCACACAACGTCAATGCTAAGTCATCGCAGCCAATCGATACAAAGACACGGCAACCATGTGCCAATGGACTCCAACACGAAAATGGAGAAAGGTAAAGCTTATTGGTACTGATTCTTTTTTATCCTCTTCATTTTTAGGCCACACGTTCTTGTTTGTCAGTCTGATGATGGTCCAGTTTCTTGGTTGTTTAGACGGTAATTGATGATTAACATGATCATTTTTTTAAACTATTAAGTGTTCTGCATTTTGTGGCTGTCCACTTTTGGAATCTGCAACAAGATTCTATGCTCTCTTTGAATAAACACTCGTTTGTCACGACTTTTAGTTTTACTTCTACTTCTAGTAGAAGAGTTTAATTAGAAAACTACCTTAAAAACTACCTTAAGCTAGATTTTTTTAAAAGCTCTTCTAGCAAGACAAACTACTTCCAGAAAACTATTCAAACTTGTTCAAAAGCAACTTTTAATTTTAGAAGAAGCTTGTGATTTTTCTAAAGCTGTATCAAATGGGCCCTCTAGGTCTATTTGTTTGGTTATCTAGTGTTCTTGTAATCAACTAAATTAAAAAATTATCTTCGTTGAGATAATGACCACTTCGCTCATCTCTTGGTAGCCAAGAATGACCTGTGAACACTAAAAAATACATTGCACAAATTTTGCTTATAAATAATCTTTGATGCTGCATTTAAAACTTGCTTACAAAGATACTACTAGGATTACCGTGAGGAATCTGAGGATAATGACATGTAGCATCATGGGTGCTTAGCATCCGTCTTATCACCAGTTGTAGGATGTGAGATCTACTGTCACTTAAAATGTTGCTAAGCTCCAGAGATGATACGTAGCGATATTCTTACACTAAGCAATAATGGAAACCTACCCACTAAAAATTGTTAAAAGAAGGCACTTCTTCACAAAAGAATATGAAGTCCTTCATAAGCATAGCTGCATTTACATGATTTTGCATAATTTTGAAATCCACTTCATCAAATATGTCTATCAGGCATCCTATGAACAAAAATAGGATTCAAACCACGGGTTGATTGGGTTTTCCGGTTGCTAGAATTCACACGACCTTGTATGGTATTTAGTTTGAACATCGAAAAAGCACAAAGCCTCTTTCGAACTGTATCTTTCACCTATTCACTTTTGCAATAAAAAAAAAAATTGCTGCATCGTGGCTTGTAGATTGATATTGGATTCAAATCTTCTCAGTTACTTATTCCCATCAGTTGTTGCATTATAAGCTTATGTTCTTAGTTCCATGAAATGGTCGTGTTTCATTTTTGCTCGGCCGTCAGAAAAATTAATATAGCAGTCGGTCTAGTTGGTATCGCAGATAAGCAGAAGAAAATTGATAAAATCTCTCCACTAATGTAATCATATGGTGAAGGCACAGGCTGATACCATTTTTAATATCTCATAATGCGGGGGAGAAAATTTAGGACCAAGTTGACGTAAAGTAATTTCCTCCCGAAGCACTTTTACAAAAAAGCAGAAACCTGCCAAATAGGTCCATAAAATCATAAATGATGATTTTGTTGTACAAAACAAACATCAGAGAACGTCTATACATTTTCAAAATGAGAAATAGGCGCATCTGTAATACCAAAGCTGTCTTATCTATCTGGTTACACTGCTGGTCTCTTAAAGCGTGCTTTTATTACTAACCCTGTCTTTGGGCCAAACCTGTGCCGAGCAATTTACATCTCTAGTCGTAGCCAGTGCTTGGAACAATCACTCAACAGGAAATCTAGTAATGTTATGGCTCAATTTGTTTGAAGAATAAACCAAGCTGGACAAACACTTTTAAGTCTGGCACAAATACCTTCACATTGACACTCATGGTAATGTCAACAGAATTATGTACGGGCAGCATTACGACAAAAACCTGCATTATCATTTTACTAGTCACAAAATTCTTCATATCACATACAACTGAAAGCCAAATGATCAAAAGATTGTGTATTCCACCAAAAGTGACAGGCAAGAATTACAGTGTTATCTTTTCTGGATGACATTCAAAATATACATTTATGAACTCAAAACACTGTGTCTGGTTAGCATAGACATACAAGTCAGATCCATATTCGAAACTTTGAGTGCAAGTAGAAAGCTCTTCTAATCATAATCATTCATCGGCTTCAGTAGCAGGAGCAGCTGTCACTCCTATATGGCTCTGACATAAGAAATGTACCGGAAATCAAAAACTGAAGATGTAGTGGGACTTGCAGGTTCAACAAGACAAGAAAAATTTGACGAACATCTCTTTATTATAAATTGAAAATTTAGATGGGATAATCATTTGATTGCATTTCATTAGACAGTAATTTTTTTTCCTGTATGTTAACATGGTATTGAAATCTAGTAAGCTCATTTGTATATAAGCTGCTAGTACCAAGATCAATAGATGAACATGGAATAAACAATTCCAAGTTAGATACATACCCCCGAGATTTATCCATTCATGGATGATTCAGCAATTAAAACTGACGACTCGGACGAGCTTCAGCCGGGCTAACTCGAATTGACCTGCCATCGAGGTCCTGCACACAGAAATTTCAGTGTAAACATTAGAATCAACAAATATGGCGCCCAGTATAACATGCACTTTTTAAACATAAATTAATGTTAACATTGCTGCCCAAGTAATATAGATCTACATGATAAGTTTATTTTACAAGTACATTGAAAAGATCTCATTTTAGTTATAAATTTGAGATCTCCCAGCATATGCGTGTTTGCAGGCATGAAAGTAACATATATTGTTAATTCATAACCTCAACCTTCAATCCAAGGCTTCTAGCTAGTGTTCCAGTTTCAGAGTACGATGAGGCCTTGTGGTTCTCTCAAAAGTCAAACCTGTCAGGGCTACCAGTAGAGACATAAAACCATCCACGTCCTGGTGACTTGCAATTCCTTACTAAACCGCAACAGTGTAGTGTTTGGTTCAGAGGGTTACAATTTATTCCTTCAGGCTATGCCGGGTTTAATAGCTATTATTTTAAAACGTGTATAAATATACATTTTAGAAGGATGAAGATATGCACACATACATTTGGGTAAATAAAGGTGCATAATTTGCTTGAAGAATAAACATACCATGCCATCCAACGATTCGACTGCATTGTTGACCTCAACAGCAGAACTGTAAGTCACAAACCCAAAACCCCTTGATCTACCACTCTCTCTGTCATAAACCACTTTGGCCTCCATAACCTTTCCTTGCTCACCGAACAAGGTTTCAAGAGCAAGATCGTCAACTCCCCATGAAAGGTTTCCCACGTAAACTCTGTTGCTATTATCGAAACTTGACCTCGACCCTCCCCTTGGTCCTCTGAATGAAGAACCTTCCCTCTCTCCCCTGGGTCCTCTGAATGAAGAACCTTCTCTATCTCCCCTGGGTCCTCTGAATGAAGAACCTTCTCTATCTCCCCTAGGTCCTCTGAATGAAGAACCTTCTCTATCTCCCCTGGGTCCTCTGAATGAAGAACCTTCCCTCTTGGGAGGCGGAGGTCCAGAATTCACCCTCAGTGGTCTGCCCTCAAGTTCCTAACAAACAAGGTAATTCTTGAATTAAGACTCAGTTTGAATAAACAAAATCAAGACTTGATGCACAAGTTGCAAAAAGTGGTATGAATACGGCAATTGAAATGTAGATACAACTTCATATGTATACTACGTTTACAATGTATACATGCCTGTGGATTTATGTATCCTTAAAGCACTATAAATGCTGGAAACTTACATATCCATTGAATTGTTGAGCAGCAACTTCAGCTTCCTCTGCAGTAGACATTGTAACGAAACCAAACCCTCTGCTTCTTCCTGTAAGCTTGTCATAGATAACCTGCAAACTTAAACATTCAGTATAAGCTGACATTCCATCATCAGAAAAGGAAAAGAAGCAACTTCTTTTTTCACCATAGGTTAACAGATGCAATAGTAAAATATGTAGCCTTACAGTGAAGTTTAAGTACATTTACACGCATAGCAATGATACACAACCTAAGATTAAACAGAAAGCAACTAAGACCAATATACCACCAAAAACGATTCATCCAAGCCTATCTAATCTTGCAAAGTAATTTAACAATAATATACCTATCCCGATAGATAGAAAGCGATTGAATATTCTACACAGATGCAAAGTAATAAAATCAATTGATTGGCATAAACAAAATCCCAATTCCTCAGACCCGTCCATAATCTATTTATAATACCAAAACAAGCAAAACGTATCAGTTTTCAAATGGAATACTTAAAATAAAGAAAGAAAGCCCAAAAGGAAACCATCTTCCCTTCCAGAACAGTAATTTAACGAACAGAAGAAGTATAAATTACCTCAACCATCTCAACATTTCCGGCTTGTTCAAACAAGCCTGCGAGAACAGCACTGTCAACATTGAAAGATAAATTTCCCACAAAAAGCTTAAGGTCAGGCGAGAATCTGCGCTCCTCTCCACTAGGGAAATCAAAGCCCTCATTCTCTTCTCCCATTTCCAATTCGTCCAACTCAGACGTGACAGAAGCTTTTCGTGCAAATTTATAAACGGGATCCGCGTAACTGCTAATGACACCATTAGAATTTTTAGAGGATATTGATATGGTAAGTTTTGGGAGAGGTTTAAGAGAAGAGGGAGTAAAGAGTGGAAAAGAGTAAGCAGTTGAGAAGTGGCGAGAGAGAGAAAGGGTTTGAGGGATGAGGTGAAGAGAGGAGGCGGAGGCAGCCATTGCTTGTGTTGGAAGAAGATAAGGTTTTGCTCTGCCTTTTCTCTTCTTGAAATAGGGTTTTGAAGAGATTTTAGGAGTGAAGTGAAGATATATGTGCGGATATTTATTTATTATTCTGATAAGGCCTTCCTTAAGCGCATGTTTGTTTTTTCTCATCCCAATTGCCTTTCTACTGCTTCTTGCCTTCTTCCTTCTTGGCTCTTTATTTTATTTTTATTTTTTTAATAAGAACTCATTGGAAGTAAGGGTGTCAACGAGACGAGCTGAAATTCGAAACTCGAGCTAGGCTCGAGCGAAATGGGTTCGGACTTTTTTGGTCCGAGCCGAGCCGAACAAAGGCTCGGAAAAAAATTTGAAGCTCGGGCCTCAACGGGCCCTTTCGATTTTTTGAAGCTCAGGCCACACCCCTTCCATTTCAATTTTTTTTTAAATTTTATACAGGCCGGCTCGAGCTTTTTTCGGGCCGAGCCACTAGCGGTCAGAGCCGACAAGCCAAATTGACATTCTTAATTGGAGGTAAACTAGGAATAATTATAATCCCGATCCCAAAATTTCAACTTGTCGTGGCTTTTATCTTAATCTTTCATTTGTTACAACGGTATCCCTAACCTCTTGCTTGTGTGAGGTCAAATGACCTCTAGACGATTTTATCCAAAGATATGTCAGTTAACCAAAAAAATTATATTTTGACCAATTTGTAAAAGAACAATTTGGCCCATGTTTGAATCACATTAAAATTTTCATTCTCATTCTTCTACTCATTTTCAATCACACATTCTTCAATAAAATAATATTTTCCATCATATCAATAACGTTTTCTTCTTTTTCAACCACACATTCTCCATCAATCTACTATTCCAGAATACATTCTTCCAAAATAATGTGGCTCAAACAATAACTTTACCCTAAATCCGCATAAATCAATTATAATAATTAAATAAAGAAGAGAAATAAAAAATAGTATTCCTTCATCAATTTCCCGCACTTTAATAAAAATTGTACTCTTTCACCTAATCTTCCTCTTAAGTCTATATCATATTTTAATTTCGTTATTAATGAAATATACCACAGGCAGCGGCTGGCAGAAACGGACTCAGGAAATTTTTCCAGTGCGAGCGATATTGATAAAGGTAAGTCTTTTTTTCATTTTTACTCCAGCCTACCCGAGGAAATCTCCTTTAGTTTCTGGATTCCTAAGTGAATTTTAACTAAAAAAATCCGAAACAAAATCGGGAAAAAGTGAAAATCCTAATTCACCAAAAGTCTCACAGAAAATACATCAAAATTAATGCATATTCTAATTCGAAAATTACCAATTTTCACGAAAAGATCACAAGTAAAAAAAAATCACATACTTTACGAGCAAAACTTCATCTAAAGCTTCCAAACTGTCCAAGGCCCCCCTTTTTTGTATTCACTCTGTAGCTCTTCACCTTCGCCCTCAACACCTCCTCATCACTGTTCTTCCCAATCGAAGATGTCGATGACAACAACACAGAGTCAATCCGATCCTCATCCGTAGGCTCTACTTTTTCAATTTCATCGATTTCATGAATTTGTGACCTTATTGTTTTAGTGGAAATTTGGGATTTCAATTCAAATGTTTCATTTCTCTGTGGGGACGTGCGTGTTCAAGTTGGGACTCTTGGGAATTGGAATGGATGGGATGTATATTATGTGGATCAATGGCATCCACCTATCTTACAATTTGGGCCAATTATTTAGCCTTTTTTTTTCAAAAAAAAAAAAGGTAAAGTCAATAACTGGGTTGCTGATAAATGGGGACGGTCCAAAGTCCAGTGCACATGGCCTTCATTTGGTCTGCCCTAGCAACGGGAGTGAAAAAGAAGATGAAGGAATGTTGCCTTTTTATAATTTTCTCTTTATTTTATTTAGTTATTTAATTGATTTACATGGGTTTAGCGTAAAGTTACCAAATTTAGATTTTAGAAATTGGTCAAAATACAAATCTCGTGATCAATTAATGGACATATGGAAAGAAACCGTACAGAAGTCCTTCAACCCCACACAAGTAAAGGTTCGGGACCACGACTACAACAAATAAAAAATTAGGATAGAAATTACAACAAATTAAAAGATTTGAGGCTGCAGCTATAATTATCCCCTAAAATTATGGTAAAACTTGTTCGATCATTTCCATTGCACTATGTTAAAAGACTAGGAATGCCATTTGTTTCTTCATCAAAAAATTATGATTTTAAGTATAATATGGGTCTATTTTCCAGTTTAGGACGTGTTTTTCATCAAAAATTGTCGAGTCTAGTATTGGACAGGTCGTTGCCAAGAATATGTACATTCTTTCTATTGACACTGTACGATTCTTAACAATGAAAGTGAACTTTGGCAAAATCAAAACCATTTTAGAGCCAATAATCAGCAGCAGATAGTTAAAATCAATCACTAATTCCTATATCCAAAGAGAGGAATAAAGAGAGAGTATACAAGTCAAAATAAAATCTCTCAGTCAATTAGCCAAAACTAATAAATATTTAAATGAAGGACGAGGGAACTGAGAAACTATAGCATGAAGGAATGGCAACTGCACAAGAATAGAGGTTTTGAAGGCCAACACTTCCCTTTTTTTTCCTATATAACGTTCTTGGAGTTCTTACTCGAGGAGAACATGCATCTTAGAAAGAAAGGAAAGATCAGAGTCGGCATTAGCCCCGTTCCAAAATGAATAAATTCCTCGCCGGAGTTTTTAAGTTTCCTCATTTTCATTTCAATAACTATGCAAATTCATTTTCTTTTCCCTAAAAATCATATTTAATGCCAATAAAGATACTAATGAAGTAATCAGTAAGCAACAGTCACGGTATTTGCAACGCCTTTACATAGGAACCACAATCAGGCTTAAACTTAGAGCAGAAAACTTGCATTAAAAATGGAGAAATTGAGCATCAGTTAGCCTCAAATTCAAGCTGCCGAAATACAATCGCAGTAATTGGGCACCTGTAGCCTAGAAGAGCTAAACCTTGCTAGTCAACTTCTACAACTACTTAACCCGTTTCAGAGTAACAAGTTTCTCTCCTAATCATCTGCTGGAAAGAAGGTCCCTGTAGCCATTCTCAAAATGAATTTGAGCATTAAATTCTTACCTTAGGGTAGCTCAATAGCATGCATTATTTTAATCAACAAGCGATTGGTGCTTTCTTCTTTCCTTTCTTGACATCACTCTGCAAGCTCTTCCCCAAAATCATCATAGATAGAATATCTGCTTTGTTTTGTGTTCCCCTCCTCATTGAGGTTCTTGATCAAGTCTTTACAGCTACTCCAATCAGTTACCCCTCCTTTCTCCATTATCTCGCATAAAATCGAATATGCATTGAGAGTCTTACCAACAGCTAAAAGTGTAAGTGTTATGCCCTAGGTCCAATCAACTTTGGACATAAACACTTTGAATATATATATAATCAATGCATATGTATGGCAATATCTATTATTTAATTGAATTAATATTCTAATAAATTAAATAATAGAATCCGTAGATTCAAGTCTTGGTGATTTGTTAATCACAAGGAGTTGTGATTGTGAGATACAAATTA